CTACGCAAACAATTTAAACTAAAAAGTAAACAATAGTACATCACTCAGATGTAGTTTTTTAACTTGTTCTGATTGGACTATCGCAATCGTTTTTAATTATTCGTGAATATGTGTATGTAGTTCTCTAATTTTTTAAACTTTTAACACAAATAGTGATTGATCAAATATTTCCTTAAAGCAACTAAGAAAAACAAGAAAATAGAAGCCTAGTTTTTCTTTTGGGAGGAGGCAAAAATTATGTTAAAAAACTTAACTAAATATTGCAAAAATCAAAAACCCTATTGTGAACAGAGGAGAAACACACCTGGAATGAGAATTGAAACACTTGTAGTTAACGGTTATATCGATCTATGTTTGGTCAATCGTGATACTTTTCGTTTTACAACCCCCATACGTCTTAAGTAGTTGATATGTAAAAGTTAAACAGTTGATATTATTATATATCCTATATTTAAAGAACACGGCACATATTAGGCAACGAAGCAAGCAGAATCCGAGCAATCGGATTTAATGAACAGAAACTCGACGACGTCAGTATTCAGGGGGTGAATAATTAATTGTATAATAAATATGTTACGTATAATAATATGCAGATCAGATAGCTAACTAGACTAAGGCTCCACAGATTCTATAAACCACATACATATAACTAAGCTAAGCTGATAAATATAACACTTGTTGGGCTTAGACGAATGACAGATAAACGATGGGAGACATTAAAAACAATTACTTACAGGGGCTTGTGTTAGATTGTACATATATATATTGCATACGAATTATAAATATCTATATTATATACCTACTGTATGAGAACTAACCTTAAGTTACCAGGATTGTGTAAGAAGAAACTATTTTATGTAGAGCTCTGCGTATTTATGTTTGTTAACAATTAACCAACCGATTAATTGATTGAACTACGAATAATATCCGCAACCACATGCTTATATATCTATTTAGGGAACGAAACCAAGCATCACCCTTGAAATTATTGTATTGTGAACAGGCAAACCCACAACCACAACCACAAAACCAACAACCAATTGTAATTGTATATTTATTATTTTACACCTAAGTTTTAAAGCATGTACATTTTTGTGACCATTTGTTTGCCTTGATTTGGAGCCCAAGCATAATCATAATTTGTAACGCCTAACTTTAGTTCAGCTCCCTTGTATTCTACTAGTTTAACGATTGTTTCGCTTAAGACTAGCATTAGTCCGCTCTGGTATTTGTCCAAAATTGTACACACAAAAGAACACACAGCAGGCAGATATGTATGTATATTCCTATCGGGGCGATCGGTCGGACTTGTACAGGCAAAGTTCCATAGCATTTTTTGGCAGCCATTCAAGACGCGCGCACTTTTTGCACGCTGTCGAGGAATTTTATATTTTTATTCCCTAAAGAAAAAAGTTTAATAAACTACAGATTAAAATTCAAATTGATTTATTGTTATAATCTTATATGGAAAATATAGTTAATGGTGGTGTATCATTGGTTATCTTTGTACTGCCGCCAGGCACGTCGGCATCTTCCGCGATCTGAGGAGGAGGAATCGGAGGTCTCCGATTGCTCGATTCGCTGTTTGGCTTCCTGGGCGGCTCTGGCTGCATTGAGGGCCGCCTTCTTGGTCTTCTCGTAATCTACTCGAGCGTCGCTCAGTTGTCGCATCAGCACAGTGACCCTCCGCTGGGCAGCCTCCAGGAGGGCGGTCTTGTCGCTCAGCGACTGCTGCCACACGGCGTACACTTGCTCCGAGGTATCCCGGTTATCCTTGGCCAGCTTGAGGCATATGGTCAGCGTCTTCAGCTCCTGCTGGCCCAAATTGTGTGCCTTGCTGGCCAGCTGAGCATTTGCCTCCGCGGTGATCAGCTCCTGGTTCTCCTCCTGCACCACCATCTCAGCCTCCCGCACCTCCGCCTCCAGTTGCTCCAGCACCTGTCCCTTTCCGGCGAGCACCGCCTCGGCGGCCTTGGCGGCAGCAGATGCCTTGTCGGCGTATTCGTTCTTGATCTTATCGGCGGCCACCTTTACGGCCGTGGCCATGTCCTCGTTGGCCTTTTTCGCCTCATTCGCCGCCTGGACGGCGATCCCAGATGACCTCTGCTTGGCATTACCGTGATTTCGCATCGACTTCTTGGGCTGGGTGCTGCTCGATTCACCCGACATGTCGCAAGCAGCTCCTCCTCCACCTCCGCCGCCACCGACGAGATTCTTCATCAGGTCCGAATCCTCTGAGGGCATGTGCCTCCGGCGGGTGCGATAGTGGTTGCCAGTTGCGGGTGCCAGGAGCGAGGACAAAACAATGATTAGCCACATGATCTGAGCGTCTATCCGCATTTTCCGTAGTCTCGGGCATTTTTCCGACCGTCAGTCTGACAGGGATGCCTGTCAAGTCCGGAAATCGAGATTATGCTCTATTGCCAGGCAATGTGCCTAATCCTGCTTAACATTGCTTGCGTTTCCCGGAGTCATCTAGCCATGCCAAGTGAAAAGGTCAGTCGTAAACCCTTGAACCAAAGTTCTCTTCTAACTATTTCTTTTTCAATAGGTGCCCAATAAAGCGCCTGATTTGGCTTGGTTGTATGAGCCAAACAATGAGAAAAGGGAGATTGGAGGAGGAGCACCCGACGCAGCGGGATGTGAGGGAGTTCAAAGATCTTGTGGCATCAACCCAAAGGATGCCAAGAGCAAGGCCTTCAGCATTGCAGTAAAGGCCGCCCAGGATGCAAAGGCGGCCAATGACGCCCAGGTGGCCGCCGGAGAGGCAGCCTCGATGCAAGTGAAAGTGGATCTGGCTGACAAGGCCGTCCAGGCGGCTCGAGCGGCGGAGGCTGCACTGGCCGGCAAGCAGCAGATCATGGAGCAACTGGAGCTGGAGCAAAAGGAGTCGGAGGCGGTGGTGGACGAGGTCCAGAGTTCGCTGCAGAACACCCAGATGAATGCCGATTCCGCCGTTGTGGCTGTCTCCGATGCCAAGCTCCAGTTGGATCAACTGAGACTCCTGGTGAAAGAGGCCACCGCTCAGCTGAGCAACATCGAAGCGTTTGCCAATGGCGCCCAGATGGAGCTGGAGGAGAAGACGCAGCTTTTGGAGGCGGCCAAGCGACGGGTGGAGGGCATCACCAGACAAGCGATCTCCGCCAGGCAGGATTTCGAAAAGACCAAGAAGGCGGCCTATAAAGCAGCCTGTGCAGCAGTGGAGGCCAAGCAAAAGGCCCAAAGGCAGCAAAGGGAGATCAGTTCTGCGTCCCCCTCGAGCTAGAAAAGATTATTATAAGGCTGGTGATCTTTTGGAATAAAAACCATACTTTATATGGTAGCGAAGGAAAGAGAAGACATTTAAAATTGTATATATTGGTGATCAGAATTTTAGTTTATTTGTAGTTGCCATTAAATGAAGATTTGTTTTCAATCAACAAAATAAATAAGTGGACTAAAACAGTGGAAATAATCTAAAGAAACAAAAGCTTAAACTAAATTTGGGAGCATAGTTCAATATGTTGCATTTAAAAATGGTGTTAAAAAACAAATTGAAAAAACGCGAATTCTTGAGTTCAGATAAAATCGAAATTTATTTGTAATCAGTTTATCAAACAAATAAAATTGGGGTATAATAAATATGCACCACTCTTAAGGATGTTTGTGTTTTAATAACGAAACGTCTATAGATTCTTCTTTTAATAGTTATTGTGTTGAATTTACATATTCATGAATTGTATTATGCATAAAGAAGATAGCATGAATGCCATCTTATGTCAAACTTGGGTATTCCGAGGATTGTTTATATCTTCCCGGTCACATCAGGCTTTCCGAATGGAGTCAGTGCCTGATGTTTTCAAATATTCGATCGGAATATGCCTGGCACGAAAGCGCTGCTCATCGTCCTGCTACTCCTGCATACGTGTCCCCGACTGGAGAGCTTCCACTACCGACCTGCCCAACCGAATGCCAAGCACTGTCTGTCCAGCTTGTACGGGGATGCCAGCGTGGATGGAGCAGACGGAGGAGGAGGCGGATCCGGAGGCTGTACGGACACATCCAACAACAAGAAGGTCGGCTGCGGCGCAGGGGGCACTGGCGGCGGCGTCTTGGGCCGTGGCGATCCCAAGGCCAAGGCATCGAACATTGCCCAGAAGGCTGCTTTGGAGGCGAAAGCAGCCAGCGATTCCCAAATGGCAGCTGCCGAGGCGGCTGCTTCCCAAGTCAAATCCGAACTGGCCGCCAAGGCAGCTCAATCCGCACGAGCAGCGGAGGCAGCGCTGGCCGGAAAGCAGCAGATTGTGGAGCAGCTGCAGCAGGAGATGACCGAGGCGGACGCGGTGGTCAGTGAGGTGACTTCATCGCTGCAGAACACCCAGGCGAATGCCAATGCCGCCGCAGCGGCTGCCCATGAGGCGCAAACGCAGCTGAATCAGCTTAAGAGTCTCGTGATGGCCGCCACCGCCAATATGGCCAATATCGAGAACGTGGCCAGTGGGGCGCAGCAGGAGCTGGCCGAGAAGACGCAGCTCCTGGAGGCGGCCAAGCATCGGGTGGAGAATCTGGGCAGGCAAATGACCGATGCCAAATCGGACTTCGAGAAGACCAAGCAGGCGGCTTACAAGGCGGCCTGTGCAGCGGTGGAGGCCAAACAGAAGGCCCAAAGGTCACGGCGAATGACCCACCGCCAGCAGGTGCGATGGGGTCCAAGGAAGTTGGCCGAAAAGTTCGCCGGCGATGCAGCTAAGATGTAGCACCAAGCTCGACGATATTTTCTATATTTTGTTATGTTTCGCATTCGGTTTTATTAGTTTTGTCTATTAAAAGTTGAGGCGTTTTAACTTGTACATTATAAATCAATGTTGCATCGTCTTTCTAAATTCAGTTTTTTTTATTTTAAATTTTTCAGCAATTTAAAAAACCGTTACAGCACTAGGCGCTGTTAACTTAACATAGCTTCAAGAAGTCACTGTAAGGCGCACTGTTAGTCGGGTGATGGGCAGCACTGCTCAAACAGCTGTTCTATGTTATAAAATCAACCGGCAAAAGACTCAAGATATTTGTTATTTAGTTTTAAATTAAAATAGCTCTAGTAGCCATGCTTATAAGAAGACTTAAGTGCCTTCGGCATCTGGGAACCCGCCACAACAGTTCGCACTATGTGACAACTCCAATATTTTATGTAAATGCAGGTGAGCACATTTCCTTAATCCCAAAGGGTTTTAATGAATGGAATCCCAACTTTTCGATAGCTCCCCACATTGGTCACCTCTACTCGGCGGTTATAGCCGATGCCCACTGTCGCTACCAGAGATTAAGGAATCCGGAGAAGGATGTACGCCTCTGCACGGGAACGGATGAGCACGGCACCAAGATCCAACAGGCGGCGGCCCTTCACGGGATTCCCGTGGCCAAGTATTGCGATGATATATCAGAGCGATATCGGGAGGTGTTCCGTGGTGCCAGTATACAGCCGGAGGACTTCATCCGCACCACGGAGGAGCGACACAAGCGGGCAGTGGCCCATTTCTGGGTATGATTGGCGTATTACAAGTGCCCGTGGTTGAACGAACCTAAGGCTAAGCTATTAACAAGTCCATATTATGGGTTGTTAAGTTACTCTCCATTAAAGCTTATATCTTAGATATTTTTAAACATAAATGGGGAAGCTATAGGTTATCACCAAGTCATGGATATTTTCTAACTTCATACGCATAAAAGCGCTTCTATCCTGTACCATATAATATTAACTTAAATTATACTTTTCCATACCTATCTTTAACTCTTTAAAAATACATACTATTACTAAACTTTACTTTATAACCATTTGAAAGGATCTTATTGTGTAATTCAAACTCTAATTAAACCATATTCAATTACAGACATTATAAATCAAGTTAAATTCTTAGGTATCAACCTATTATATCTTCCATCCATAGCGCACACTCCACGGACGAGGCCACATCTATTTGGCTGCCTACAGCGGCTGGTATTGCGTGTCCGACGAAACCTTCCTTACCGACTCCCAGCTGAGATTGGATGAGTCCACCGGCAGCCGTTACTCCCTGGAATCTGGGCATCCCGTCGAGTGGACCGAGGAAACCAACTACATGTTCCGTCTGTCACAGTTCCAGGACGATGTGCGCCATTGGGTAAAACAGGAGGCTCACATCCGGCCAGCCAAGTTCGAAAAGATTTTGCTAGACACTCTCAGCGAACCACTGCCGGATGTATCGGTATCGCGTCCTTCCAACCGTGTCCACTGGGCCATTCCTGTTCCGGATGATGATACACAGACAGTCTACGTCTGGCTGGATGCTCTGGTCAACTATCTCAGCTCTGTGGGATATCCCAATGAGGGGGTACGTTTTGTTAATCGAACTTTCACTCCTTAAAAGAGAAAGTTTGTATTTAGGTTATAATCATTTATAAATATTTTGTAGTTGGTAGGAAGAGCACCATAAAAATCATTAGTGTTTCTAGTTGTATGTTTAGACATTCCAAAAAATATCTAAATAATTCCAATCTTTCCCCATTTTAGTACTCCGCCCACTGGCCACCGGCGCAGCAAGTGATCGGCAAGGACATCCTCAAGTTTCACGGCATCTACTGGCCCGCCTTTCTCCTGGCCGCTGGCCTGGAGCCTCCAGGACAGCTCTTCGTCCACTCGCACTGGACCGTTGACGGGCAGAAGATGTCGAAGAGCAGGCACAACGTGGTGGATCCCGTCCAGGCAGCCCGCCAGTACACCATGGAAGGCCTGAGATACTTCCTACTGCGGGAGGGCGTGGCCCACAGCGATGGCAGTGAGTGAATCGAAACCGCGAAATCCCTTTGATGTCTGTGGCTTGTTCGCTTTGCGGCATCAATGCCATGTGACCACCATAGAAATAGGCGGAGGAATAGGACGGGGCTAGGGATTGTGGGCAGGAGTAACCTGCCTGCGGTTATTCAAATAGTTTTTCCATCAAATTATCAACCGAAACTGTTGAGGTTGCCTTGAAGTGCTCGTATGTGAGTGGCCATCTGTCGTCGTTAGTTTTACGGCAATGGTTACCTCTGCTTTAATTTGCATTTCAATTTTATGCCCGAACTGGCAAACCGAAAAGGGAACCTAAAGTCGAGAACTGGCCAAAAGTTTTTGGTCCAACAGGCCAAGACGAAGGCGAGAGCTGACTTTTGTTTATTTGCCTCGAAAGTTTTTGTATTCCGAACTTGCAGAATTTGCATAAGGATGGGAATGGTATGGGGAAAACAGTTTTCGGGGAAAGTTTCTGTCAGGAATTCATCAATTGTCAGAGATATAGGCAGATATGATTACGTTAGGCATTGGTTGGGGTTATCGAGAGCAATTAACACACTTCGCTGGGTGTCATGGGGATGCGTTTTGATTGATTCGCCAACCTTTTTCGGGGTTTCCATTTGCATAAATTGCTGGCGTGCCGCTCCCCTCTTCAAATTTAATTTTCAATTATTGCTGACTTTGCTTTTCCGACGGATTTTCCAGACAGCCGGCTGCTTTTCACGTTTGCCTTTATTCAATTTGCGCTTGTTGATGTTTCTCTTTTTAATTTTTTATTTTATGGCCCGCTGCCTTGCGGCTAATTTAATTGCATTTTTATTGCATTTGCCCGGCAAATTGAAACCAAAAAACAAAAAAAAAACGGCTCAATAAAAATGTGCGAACTGCAGCAGTGCGTCGGCGTCGCATAATTAAATTACAAAACTTCGACATCGCGCACATTTTGCATATTTTTCGAGCCATGAATGATTTATGCGACACGGCAGATGAGTTTACTTTAATTTGAGCCGACTGCTGTCCATTAAGTGAAAAAATCACTTATTCCCCATCAAACGGTTTGCTTCAAATTCGATTTTGTGGCCCAAGGTGACATCCGGTTTTTCACAAAGCTGCTGGGACAACATCATTATTAAATGCTCAAGTTTTCATTACAGGCCAAACTTCCGCAACACAGAAATTGCATTTCGTATTTGAGGACACAACAGCTGCTGGTGGAGGAGCAGAAACGGTGGAAGGACCACGGCCAGGACCACCAGCATCTGCGGTTATGTTAGAAAAAGTTGCCCAGGAAATGCAAATGGGGGAGGTGCGCTGATGCAATCAGCTTCCTTGGGGCGTCACTCAATTTTAAAATTTGAATACATAAACTTGTCATTGAAGACTGTTATAAGTACTTGCGAAGGTTTGGTGGCCTGGGAAAACGCTTTTGTAAAATTGTGTTGCTCTCTTCGGACATCTTTTTAGACTGCTTTCAATTTGTACAACTCAACTAAACTATCCTCTTTACTTCGTCTTTTTTAATAATAGTATTTAAACGTCAGAATTTTAACCCAATTTTCCCCAAAGATATTTTTTAACTGATATAGAGACTTTACTTAAAGATTTTTGATATTGATAAATAGGTAGCTAGGTCTCATTTTCAAAAAAGCTCAGATTAATCCCATCGAAAGAATTTTTTTGGATTTTGTAAGGCTTAGTTAATGGCTTGCCAACATGATCTTGATCTGATCCAAAACAGAATGCCTCATTGCATCGTAAAAACATAAAATTCTATAGCGTATTCTGGCTCATGATTCTTATGAATATTGATCAGATTCGCTTTCTTGTATAAGCTGAACCTTTGACTCACTCTTTCCGGGCTTAACTGATAACACATACTATATATGTACATTCTTTTTATCGCTGCAAATTCCCAAAACACTTTTCCGCCTTCAATAAGATTAACATTTTTGAGAAGTTATCTCACACAGATTGTATTTTTAATCAAAAGTTTAAAGTACCAGCAAAAAAAGCAAACTATGGGATTCCTAGTCACAACGTATCCAATTAGTAACTGATATTCTCGTAGTATTTATTTTATATATTTTTGTTGTTGACAGGTATGTGATTTTATTTTAGTTCTCTGCACTTTATTTAAGTTCTTTGCAGATCTTTTCTTAATAATTTTTCCTAAATGTCAACCCACTACGTATTTGATCGACAGTCAGTCTGCGAGCAACGTGAGTTGTGGTTATGGGTGGTGGATCTGTGGAAAGATTTATTGAAGATCAGTGATCGCTCTTTAAAATTACCTCTTTTTTTTACTTACACTTTTCGTTTTTGCACAGCGTGTCTCCATTGATCTTAAAATCAGTCAGCATGGGCAACTCGTTTGTAATATTCCCAAAGATCACGTACATCTGAGCGGGTTCTCGTTTTCTGATGTTGGCATAACACTCTTCTTCGCTGGGATACGGATAGAGATTATTAACTTGATCCTAAAGAAAATCAGAATAATTTGAGTTGAGAGCATATCTTATCCATTTATCGAATATTTTAAATACATACCACGTCTGCGCCGTGTGCCGTGAAGTCTGCCTCCCAGTAGAATTCATTGAGGTCGGTCCTGTGGGCCGTAAAAATGCCTATGAAGGTACTACCCGAGTTCATAGTTCCATATGTAAAATATGAATCGCAATTGTTTTTCGGAAGATGTACATTTCGGTTGATCGAGTAGGCCATGACCGAGATCAGGGACGCGTAAAAGCAAAACCAAAATGTGGTAGACATAACGCTGCTGATGGTGATCGAAGACGAATGCCAAGTACTTTATAATGTGCTGACTTTTTATTTGAAACGCGAATGTACAAATGCCTTTATATGTATACAACAGAACGACTGATAACCGAACTCACAACACAAAATCCGAGAAAAGTATATATAATCCGATAATATAAATTTTCTTGCAGAGGCATATTCCTGCACATTTAAAAATATTTATTCTTGATCAACATCTATTTAAATTTATAAAAAGTTTATTAAAACCGCACAAGTAAATAATATGGCTGCAAAAGGCACAATTGCAAAGTTGAGAGCAAAATTAGTAATCCATTTTGAATAGTTAAAGATAACGATTTTTTTCTATTTCTTAAATACTTTATTTAATTGTTTTATAATATATAATTATTTTATAATAATCATATCTTTTTGTAGCTCTGTATTTAAAGTTTGGTTTTTGTTTGTACACCATTTGCAAATGTAAAAATTCACCTCATCTGGGTTTTACCTATTAATCGAGGACTTTTGCTATGTTATTATTGTGATGTTGGTATCAGTGTATGAGGGGTCATAATAAAGTTGAACATACAAATATTGATAAGGGTAGTAAATACTAAACATGTATTTACTTCCCTTATCAATATTTCTAATTAATTTTATTTAGTTACAATGTTTTATTAGCAGAACAAGCATTAATTAATTAATCATGCTAGTATTGATTAGCTATCAATTATTACAGCATTTTTTAATATTCTGTTATTTTTGTCTCTAGGCAGTAGTTTAATCTGTATCTGTGCAGTCTGTAAAATTTACTATAGAATATATAGAATAAATATTATCGCAGCTAAATACTTTTGCGGTATCCGAAAGATAATTAACAATTTTACGGCTTATTCGACGTACAGCACAGTTTCGAGTTAGGGTATATAGGGAATAGCATCGAAGATCTGAGTGAAAAAATATAATAGAACGAAAAAAATATAAGCTTAGATAAAGAATTGTAGAAAGTATAATTTTCATCCGGCAATCAGTTTTTGTATCTTATGCCAATTTTTAAGTATTACGCTTTCTTTTTTACTTACTTAACTCTGTGCTGCACAATGTTTGCCCGTTCAGCTTTAGAAGTGTCATCCTGGGTAGCCATGGATACATGTTTTCTTCCTTGAAACCTACAAACATTTGAGCAGGCGAGTCATTTTCCATTTGGTTTTTAATCATACTTTCGTTGAGATATGGTTCGAAGACAGAAATGGCATTCTTGTGAGAAAAAAGTAGGTGGTTCTGAACTCAAGTAAATCACTTGGCAAAGCTTTAGCTTACGTTTACACAGCCGTGAAAACTGAATTCTACCGTCCAATTAAATTGAGAAACGCCAGTTTTGGGAGCCGTGAAAAGTCCAATAGGATTCTCTCCATTGGCATCGAATGCGAATTTGAACTCTGGGCAATTTTGAATGGGATAAACCCATCCAGTTATTACACAGTCTATGGCTATCCAAAAAGAAAATAAATGAAGGATTGACATTTCGGTTGATGGAACCGGTGTTGATGGAGCTTAAATGAAAACTGAGCCTCGACCTAATTCGCGAAAATAAAATGTAAATAGTGATTTTGCTATTATAAACAAAATGCTGATCTCAAGGGTTTTGTAAAATTTGTATTGTAGGTCGTAGATTACAAAATAATCGGCAATCAGAAAAACTAGGTTGGATGATTCATATCAATAAAAAAAAAACTGAGAATCAGGGCTGTGAACTCTGAAAATGTGTTTTCTTAATATAATTTTATATTTATGAAAATAATATTTAAACGTATCTATACTGTCTTAAAATAATTATATCTATTAAATTAGATGTTGTCTATATCTGTAATATTAACAAGGAAGAACGCTATAGTCGAGTACCTCGACTATCAGATACCCGTTACTCAAAGGGAAATGGAGATATGCAAGCAGCAAAGCGAGATTAAAATGCGCCACCTACCGGCGGTAGACAGATTTAAGCGTTATGGGCGTTAGAGTGGACGTGGCAAATTTATTTTTGGATCAATCGATAGGTATTGACGACACCAATACATTTCAGTTAATTTTAATTTTTTATCTAGCATGCAAATTGTGGGCGTCACAGGTTTTCGCGGTTTGTGGGCGTTTAAGTGGGCGTGGCAAACTTTTTTTTAGGTCAATCGATAGGTATTGATGAGAACAATACATTTCAGTTAAAATTTTTTATCTAGCATCAAAACTGTAGGAGTTACAGTTTTGGGCGGTTTGTGGGCGTTAGAGTGGGCGTGGCAGTCTACTGAAACAAACTTGCGCTGCGTAAGAAGCTCAGGAATCTGTACGCCAAATCTCAATAGCCTAGCTCTCATAGTTTTCGAGATCTCAGCGTTCATCCGGACAGACAGATGGACAGACGGACAGGCGGACAGACGGACAGACGGACATGGCTAGATCGACTCGGCTAGTGATCCTGATCAAGAATATATATACTTTATGGGGTCGCAAACGCTTCCTTCTGCCTGTTACATACTTTCCGACGAATCTAGTATACCCTTTTACTCTACGAGTAACGGGTATAAAAACATCATCATTATACTATGTATGTAACATTTTCTACACTAGGTAAACTTCTATAACTATAAACTAAAAACAAGTGTTAGCGGAATGGATCATCTTTTATACGAAAATTAGATAGTCCGGAGCCTGTTTTAAAGTAGTGCCCAGCCCTGCTAAAAATGTAATCTAAGATCTTAATTTGCTAATTTTTTTTTGTGTTCCTTATCAGTTAAGTGAATTATTTTGAATTGACTTGAGGTCCTGATTGGATGGACATTCTCCGTGCCACGCGTACATTAGTCGAGGGAGGTGCATCTGTTGAAAATAAATGTATACATATATATATATATATATATATATATATCACTAAAGTGATCATTATGCCAATACTTGGAATTTCTTACTCACACTTGCTTTTGGTGCACAGGGTTTCGCCATTAAGTGCGAAATGAGTCAGCAGGGGCAGCTCGTCGGCGATGTTAATGAACTTTACGTACATCTGGGCAGGGTATCCATACTGAATATTTGCGAGAAGACCCTCTGCGGAGGGAAAAGGTCTGAGGATCCCGACTTCGTCCTAAGAGACAAGACAATTGGATCATTTTGTATCACTAAACATGGCCCATAATTACCAAATTAGCGCCAATAGATGAAAACGTTGCCTCCCAGTAAAATTCCTTTAAGTGAGCCTTATTTGCCGTTAAAACGCCTATGAAATCATTTCCGTCTTCCTTGTAAGAAAAGTATTTATCGCAATTCGAAAACGGTATTACTACAGCCAAAGCAGAGTTCAAAAAGAGAAACAAACTTAAAACGAAAGCGGTCGACATTTTAGGAGTACTTATAGAAGCTAAGTTAAAGCTAAGAATGATTGAAAAAAAAATATGTGGCCTGCATTTTATAATGGAAAGAAAACGGAAGTTAACTTTGGCAAGCCGAAATTGTGATACCCTTGCATCTTTAACGAATTAAAATATAACCAGAGTGGTTTGAGTAAAAAAATATTAAATTTAGAATAGCAAAAAAAAAAAGAATACTAAATAGATCGGTAAGAGTTTTAAATTTGATAGGAGTGTTGGTTGTTTTTGTTCTGATCAAAATTATAGAACTCTCTTTAAGTGTATAAATTCATGAAGGCTTATCTTTGAATAATGCTTCTTCTAAGAAAAAGTCCAGCTCACAACTTATAGATTACAGATATACCATAGCAACAGGAATTTTAATGGAGTTTTGTACGTTTAAGAAAAACTCTAAAATATTTTTTTATGTTTGAATTTATTTATTTTTCTGAAGGTTTTATAGCAATACTTTCGGATTCCAGAATTAAATTAGGTTTAAATTTAAGTCGCCAAGTTAGGTGTATTATTTTTGATTTTCGGCTAAAATTAGTAATATTTCATATTTATTTGCACGTGTGTAACCAATAACGATATAAAATTGGCAACGTTACGTTTTATCTTCATAATCCCTTGCTAAATTCTTGCATAATAAAGACCCTTTTGCCTGGCATAACCCTCTGGCCCCTTGAATGTTTATTTAACCCCATATGTTTCACCCTTTTTCCAGACCTGTCCATCCGATCCGGGAAACTGATTCTGCTAAAGGGCAGACAAGAAATTAGTGTGTTTGGCACATAACCCATACGCCCCGTGTTGCCCGGGCAAATTTGCCTGACACCTCCGTCGGGCTGTCTCCGATTGCAGAGAGGCTTGTTAAATATTTGATGGGCCATCCCCTGCACTTAAAGCCAAGTTATGCTGTTGAAAAATAGGGACAGCAGGGCAACAGGGCGAAATGGTGTCAAAGTTGCCTGCAGGCGAGGGCAAAAGTGGAGCAGCGACAAGTTTTTCAAGTTATTTAAGGTGCAGCCAAATAGGCAACAGTCCGCATTCGAAGTGCAGCACTTGGGGCACGTAAAAAAGTATTATTTATATTACTGTAGCCAGGAAGAGCGCCTCCATTTGTCTGAGGAAGGGATGGCATATCCTGTTCTTGCTCCTGCTCCTAGTGACTTGCTTTTCCGCCCACTTTGGTCACGTGGCAACATGTGCAGCGTGCTTAAAGTCGGTGGCAAGTGTTGTACACGGCTTCCTCGTGCCGTCAGCAACTTTTGCTTTTTTCCACAATTTGCAGCTGCTCACGTAAGCAGTTAATAGTTGCCCGGACTTTTCTACGGACTTCGGCTCCGGCAGGTAATGCCACATACAAAATACAACACGTGTTGCGGGGCCTCTTCGAACGTTTTCATTAGAAAGCAATACTCGATTGGCAGTCCTCCGCTAATAAAGTTTGAACCTATTCACATTGCATTTCTGGCCAACGGCAGGCAAACGTTGGCGATGCCATCAAAATTCAATGCATTCAAAATGAAAAGCCTGCCGAACGGTTCAGTTAACTAATGGAAGGTCATAAGACTTTATGCTTACCCTAGTTGATTGGTTTTTGAATTTTAAATATATCTATATCTTAAATAAAAAAAAAAGATCAACATTTGTTTAAGGATACCATCAATTACTAGATTTAAAAAGGGGTTATATTTTTTTAGTTTAAAGAATTACTTCATTTAAAAATGGTAAAAACTTTTCTTTTATGTTTGTTTAAAGATACTTCAGTTCCATTCAAACTTTTATAATCTCTTCAAAATGATAGATTATTAAGTCTTGAAGTTTTCCAGCTTGACACACTCTATGTTTACCCCAAAACTATTAGAACTAGAAAACTTTGTTATTAAAATTGTAAATCTGCGAGGTAGCTGCAATTCCTATAACAATTCCCATTTTCCACATGCCAGGTGACTTGGCATAAATTTGATTTGGGGAAAGCAACGTACGTATATGCTTGTGAATTCAACGCAACTCAACTCGACACTCTTTCATTTGAATTTCGGTTGACAAGCGGACTTCTACCTTTTTGGGCGGGTGAGAAACTTTCTGCTGTATTTCTTCTAGTTGCGTAACAAATTAATGTTTCGGGCAACACTTTCTGGCAGTTGTATTTCCCCAGAGAGAAAGGGCCAACGGAAACCTCATTTGGCAGCTCAGGTAAAATAGGAGAAAGTTGAAAGGGCAGCAACGAAGTGTATTTGCTTTGGGAATTATGGTTATGCTCTGGTTTTATTTTCTTTTCGAAATCTGATCATCAAAATTTCGGTACTAAGAGCAATAGTAATTACTTGCCAGCAACAATTAGCCGATTATTGTCTTAGCAGGCACTGCCTGTTTTAATTACCCACAGGCTGCAGATGCAATTGCAGCTGTATTTTGTGGTCCCATTCGCAATTGTCGCATTTTTGGCTGTTTATGACATTTTAATGGGCTTAATTTTTAATTACATATAAGTAAGGGTCCTTGAAAAGGGCTCCAAGTTGAATTTATATAGTAAATACCTTTTTAGTGTGGTCGTTTCTTTACCTTAAATCAAGGAAATCCTTTCAATTACCATTAGTTTTTCTCAGGTTATATCTTTTTAATGGGCTTAGTTCTTAATAACATAAAAGAAAGTAATAAGTTCTTACTATAACTACACTTTTTTTGATGTTTAAATATATAGTAGTTTCTCTAGTATATACTGAAAAATATTTATCTTTTTTAAATCAAGGAAATCCTATCAGTTATGGGAAGTAGCACCTCTATTTGTTCTGTTTTGTAGTTTTAAGTCGAGTGCATAAAATAAATGCACTGCTTGTCTACTTAATTTTCTCAAGTTTCCCCCAGCGAACACATCATTATACGTATTATACTGGAATAAAGTCCTCACGAAGCACTCTTTTTATCCCGCAGACTATCTCCCTCATTCAGTTCAATTTCCCTTTGGGCGAATATTCTGCAACTATTAGCGCAGCTTAAATCCTTTCGTGTTCAGCTTTGCTCCCGTAAAGCCACCTGAATCACCATTTTGTGGGGCGAATGGAAAATGGGGAAAACTCCTTGCCTTGCCCTTCCTTGCCTTTCCTTGCCTTGTTGTTGTTAAGTTACCCGGATTGTATCTTAACCGGCTTTGGTCGAAGGACAGGAACTCCTGACTCCTCGGTCTCTGTTTCCGCCGAGCTAATCCCCTTAATGGGCGGCCGGGCATACGGTGAATTTGTAAGCAGTTAATGCCGAGCCAAAGGCAAGTTAAAAGTAAGATGAAAATATCACTCATTCGCCAGGTGGACCAGGTTGAGCTGACATTTTGTATTCCTTCAGTATCAG